GTTAACTCTAAAGAGATAAGCTGTAAAAACATTTCAAATATCTACTATTAAAAATGTGGGTTATGGTAAATTTTTTTATTTTTTCAGGCACACAGTTTTGAAGCTTGGCATATTTAGCATCTATAGACTCAACACGAACTCATCTTTTATTTAATTAAAAAAATATAGATTATGATAAACCGTTGCAAAAATATCATGCAGCATAAATTACTTTCTTTTATATTACAAGGCATCTGCTTTTTTAGAAAATATAAAGAGGTATGAAGTTATTTTCAAGCATAAAACACAGATTTTAAAACATGCAAAAAATGAAAAATTGCTTGGGTAGTGAACTGGTTAAATAGTCAACGCCCCTTGTTTTATGGTGTAATTATCAATTTTTTTTCTGACACATTCCATGCAAAACTCCAAAAATGGACTGGACAAAATTATTGGCACCTTTTCAAAATTGTAATAAATAATTGCATTTCATGTTTGTGATGCTCCTCTAATTTGTAATTAAACTCACCTGTATCAATTAACAGATTTTAATGTTGCTGTGTCTACTGTGTGCAACATTGTCAAGAAGTTTACAGCCCATGGCACTGTAGCTAATCTCCCTGGATGTGGATGAAAGAGAAAAATCGATCAAAGATTGTACAAAGGATTGTTCGAATGGTGGATAAAGAACCTCAATCAACTTCCAGACAAATTCAAACTGACCTTTAGGCACAAGGACTCTGTCAGCTCACACTATACATCGCAATCGGAATGAAACAGGACACTATGGTTGCAAACCCAGGAGGACTCCACTGCTGACACAGAAACATACAAAAGCCAGATTGGAGTTTACCGAAACTTTCCTGAGGAAGTCAAAATCCTTTTGGGAGAATGTACTGTGGACAGGAGAAACAAAATTACAGCTTTTTTGGTAAAGCTCATCATTCTGCTGTTTTCAGAAAAAGAAATGAGGCCTTTAAAGAAAAGAATACAGTCAAACATGGTGGAGGTTCACTGACGTTTTGGGCATTGCTGCTACTGGCACTGGATGTCTTGAATGTGTGCATGGCATTATGAAATCTGAAGAGTGCAATTTAGGGCCCAGTGTCAGAAAGTTGGGTCTCTGTCAGAGGTCATGCGTCTTACAGCAGGACAATGACCCAAAGCACACGTCAAAAATCCCCCAAAAATGGTTTCAGACACAGAGCTGGAGAGTAGTGAACTGGCCAGCAATGAGTCCAGGTCTCAATCCCATAGAGCACCTGTGGAGATATCTCAAAACAGCAGTTGTGAAAAGGAACTCTTCCAATCTGAAAGACCTGGAGCAGTTGGCAAAAGAAGAATGGTCCGAAATTCCAGTAGGGAGGTGTAAGAAACTCATTGATGGTTACAGGAAGCGATAGATTTCAGTTATTTTTTCCAAAGGGTGTGCTTCCAAATATTAAATTGAGGCTGCCAATAATTTTGTCTAGTCCATTTTTGGAGTTTTGCATGGAATGTGTCAGATATGGCTTTTTGTTTCTCCACTTTTTTGTCTCATACCAATACAAACAAAAGAAATACACATGAGAATGTTTAAACATTTGTAACTGCAACAATTTTCTGTGTGAAGTGGTGCATTATCTGACAGAAATGCAGGGGTGCCAATATTTTTTGGCCATGACTGTAGATGAGTCAGATTTCTTTTCATTCAACCAGCTCTGCACAAAACGAAAGTACATACAGTCGTCTTAAGCAAATCGAGCTATATATAATCAGCAGACCTCTGTATAGCACTCAGGGGAGCTGATTAATCAGACCCCATTAGGGTAACATCAAACAAAAACAATAGCAACAGTGCAAAACAAAACAATGCAAAAACACCATCACTGGTGTCAAATAAATAACTCTTCAATAGCCCAATAAATAAAAGGGTTCCAAGTGAAATATTGATGTATATTCAGTTTCTATCAGTGAACGGAATCATTGCTGCATCATAAAGACTAGCAAAAGGCCCAGCATAAAATTCTTTGGATAGTGGAATAGTACATTGCACAATGAGTTGTGTGCAAGATGACAGAACTTACTATTAGTGCATGGTAGCCACTGTGTTTTTTTTATTTGCTGTGGTTTGGACAATGTTGAAAATCCCATTGTATTCTTAACTGTATGCCAAAGTATGGAAAGATGCTGTCTTGTTGCCAGAGAACTTGTAATGATCCTGTACAGCTGAAAGAACTGGAGCGAGCCAAGGAGCAACAAATGGCACTTGTCTCTACCTGTTGGTCAAAAGACAGGCTCTCAACACAAATTTAATTTCTGGAGTTATCAAGTCTTCACCAGGCTACTGGTGATGTTGATGGACTTGTGCAGCAGGCAACTGTAAACAGTGAACCATGTCATTAGTATAATGATTAGCACAGTGCCAAAGTTCAGCAAATATAGATGGCTAGTGTAGCTTTTCTTATAGCAACTCCTTAAAAGCAAGCAGGCATCCCATTCTTGGTTACCTCAAGGTCTTCATACAGAACACTATAGTAACTGCCCAGTGGCACAAGGGACTGCTCCAGCAGCTTCCCATGCATATTGAATACAGGGGCACTCACTTGGCAAGGCTGCCATTCAGAGAAAACTTTGTATCTTTTTTCAGAACATATAAGGTGTCCTGTGATGAATGAGGTGGAGAACAGGGGACAGGGGTCACAATCTTCACCTCAATATATAAGAGAAAAGGACAGTGCCCCTGGGAACAATATCACAGAAAAAATGTAAAAGATATATTAGGAAGAGCCGCTATCTTACCCCTACAAAGCAAGGTGCATAAATAGACCCAAAAAAACGAAGGCAGCGCTCTTCAAGTTACTATATCTCTGAATGAGTGAACTGTATAAACAAATGAAAAATACTATTACACCAAGTGATATAAATCTATGTGAAAAATAACTCTGTGAGTAAACAATTAAAATCGTGTTCAACAAAAAAGTCCATATAAATAATAGTCCATATAAATAATAGTGTTCATAAAGTAGTATTAGTGAAACAAAAAATCTTATTTGATATTTGTATTAATGATGTGACCAAAAACCACCGTGAGAATTCACCACCAAATAAATTAAATCCACTCACCAGAGCTCTATGCTGGTAAAATTATAAACCAGCTACAACCACTCAAGCTCTGGGAGCAACGATCTGCAGAAGCATACCCCAGCTGATTGCAACTCCTTCAAATACCAATTGGCTCCTCATATATTCAGAATGGGACTTAAAGGAAGAAGAAAGGAATCCACATATTGTAAAACCATCCAGGCTTTTATTCAATACACAATGTGTTAAAACCACTCACATTTGTCAGTGTCAAAGCCGATACTAGCATATAGTGCACAGAACATAGACAATCACAGGTCTGCTACGGTCAACGGCAGCTCACCCATACGTGGTGACATCACCTCCAAGGCCCTGCCCTATGCGTTTCGTGATCCGACATCCACCTTGTCCAAAGAAAGGATGCCTTGCCAGAGGTGTAGTCTGTCTATTGGCAATGCTAAGTGAGCGACCCTGTGTTTAGTGTGCGAAAGGAAGCAGCACCCAGAAAATCATGGATATCGCTGTATGTAGCAAGGACTACTACAGTGATTTTCATCATCTGAACTGGTCCCCTGAATATCAAATATCGATACTTATCATTGATCCAAGTTGAACCAATGTAAGGTTGCAAAAAATATAGTTCTTGGAGTTCTACTTTATCACTTTACTGGGCAATGGAACATAGATGATTGCATCCTTTTAATGGAGTATAGAGCGATATGGAGGTGTCTTTATCCACACCTGTGCACAGCCCAACTGAACAAATTAATAGAGCTGGTACCCTTGCACCAGAACCCAGAGTGCAGTGAGCCAGACATGACTGCAGAAAAGGTAATAACGTAGATACAGACAGATAGAAAGACATACGTTAGATACAGGCAGGCAGTTGGAATCATAAAAGACATAAGGAGCATATACAAATGAAACACAGTGAGCAGAACACAAGTAAAGTTCTGACAAAACTGAAAGAAAAAAACATAACCTTACTGGCGATGGACTAAATTGACAATATTACTTATTATGTGATGATGTTATCACAAAGGTACATATGGAATATTCAGGGAGATCGCGTCTGTATATCCCACCTTTCTCTGAATGCGTGGACAAAGGGACTCCTGTGATCTGGGAGGTGACATCAGTGGTCATGTCAGAGCTGCAAGGAATACTCAGAATGCTTCCTGGATGTTGTTAATGAGTGGCTGTATTTTTTATATGTATAAAACATACTACTAAAGGGGCCCACAGTGTGGTAATACATGAGTTTGGGGCATTATGATTGAACCACTTGCCCTCCAGATGATTTACCCCCCTTCCTGGCCAGGCCATTTTTTGGGCGTTATGATGCTGCGTTACTTTGACAATTGCGCAGTCATGCAATGCTGCATGCAAATGAAATTTACATCCTTTTTTTCCCATGAATAGAGCTTTCTTTTGCTGGTATTTGATCTTCTGTGCATTTGCTATTAAACATGTTCAGTAAAAAAAAAAAAAAATTTCATCATAAATGTAGGCCAAAATGTATTCTGCTACATGTCTGCTACAATAAAATCCCAATACATGTAAATTAATTGGTTTACGTGACAGTTATAGCATTTACAAATGGCTGTATATACACTTAGATTAATTTATTTTTTTTACAAATAATGGCAGCAATCAGCGACTTATAACGGGACTGCGGGACTGTGATGGGCATTCTGACACGGGGGGGAACTGACTTGGTATCACTGACATCCCCAGTCACACCAATACAGTGATCAGTGCTAATAAAAAGCACTGACACTGTACTAACGACACTGGGCAGGAATGGGTTAACATGTGGCACAATCAAAGGGTTAACTATGTGCTGTGTGTGCGTGCTTCACTGTAAGCACACTGCTTTGCATGGCTCTGCTATCTAAAGCCATGCATAGTAGTGTGCAGGAGCTGACAGGGGGAGAGAACTGTATGTTTACCTACAGTTCTCTCCCTCTGTTGGTAATGCTCTTTAATCACCGGTACCGGTGAGTAATTATCGGCTGGGACCCGCTGATTGAGAGCCGAGGCCACGAATAGTGGCGCGGGTAGGGCTCGCGCGTGCTGCTCGCACATGTCCGCTGCCTGGACATGCAAAATCACGTATATATACGTATATGTATTTTACGCACCCGTGCCGCCCTGTAGTGTTACTTCTATAGGGCGGACGGGAAGCCGTTAAAATGTATTTACACTTTTGCAGCTAATAATGCATAACACCTACTTTATATTTGATACATGTCCTCATTCACATTGCATAACTTAAAAAATGTAAAGATACATTTAAGATACTCTTTTTTGGACCCTCCAGCAAGGAAAAAAATCCTAGGTAAGTTTCTTTGTTTATGAGGAGGATAGACAGCTGTGTTTGTCATAAATAACCCTGTCTGTACTGTGGAGGCATATCTTTATTATCAATTGTAACTAAATTTGAGCGTGGTCTGTCCTAACAAAGGGTTGAAGTTGTAGAGGCTGGACTAATTGCATTGTATGATAATAAGAACAGACTTGGGATAGACTCATTCTAACATTGTTCAAAAAACTTTGTAGTCAGCCATGATACCTCTTCCTAAGAAACACCTAAAAGGTAAGGAATATTTAAAAAAAATAGGAATGCTGTGCGAATGTGAACACATAATACACATATAACAGCATTTTTCAAATTTGACTGCAAAAGTGGAAATACACTTTAAAGCGTATGTGAGAAAACCCCACTAGATTTTGGAAGATTTCATGGCTGACTGCAAGCATTTTTCAACAAGTTCAGTGTGAGTTAGTCCCAATAGAAAGGCTGAGCACAGGATGAGCTCCATACCATTAACATATCATATAGAAGCCCAGCTTAGGTCGGGACAGACAGTGGTCAAATCTAGCTTACTACTGATGATATGAGATCTGACAGAAAAGTGCACACAGGGTTAATTATAATCCTTTAGATTGTAAGCTCCATGAACAGGGCCCTACTATTTCTTCTGTACTGAACTGTATTGTAATTGTACTGTCCCCTTCATATTGTAAAGTGCTGCGTAAACTGTTGAGAACTAAATAGAACTTGTCTGGAGTTTCCAGAAAAAGAGCAAATAAAAAAAGGTAAGCTGCACTTTTCAAATATTTCTTAAAATTTATATTATATGAATAGGGACATGTAACAAATATATAGTATATGTTCTCCCAATTTGGCTGCAAAAGTGGAAATTGCTTTTAGCTTAAAGTGTTACTAAACCCAGGAGCCTGCATTCACTATATCTGGTCTCCCACAGTACACATAACGTGGCAGTGCAATTATTTTAGTAAATATAAACTGTTAAATACCTTTACTCATCAGCAGTTAGAGCAGTCTTGTGACTTCTAGCAGTGTCCAGCAGAGCGCTGGTTAAAGCTTGTAGAAGGACTTTTAATTTTCCCTAGGAGTATGCAGAACCCCTGACCTCTGTCTGGACAGTGCTGATTGGCCCTGTGCTGATCACATGCACTCTCCCAAGAAAAAAAAAAAACTCTAGCAATACACACCAAACTGAGCATGTGCAGAGTGACTCCACACTATATGTCTTATCAGTAGATAAGAGGGGGACACGCACGTTTACACACATTTTATGTACTCATTTTTTTATTTAGGTGAGTGATATATTGTGCACTTTTTCAGGTATCAGGTCTTGTATATTGTCACATCACACTTAATATACGGTTTATAAACTGCTAAATACCTTTTCTCATCAGCAGTTAGAGCAGTCTTGTGACTTCTATCAGTGTCCAGCCGAACACTGGTTAAAGCTTGTAGGAGGAGTTTACTTTCTGTTCTAGGAGGATGCAGAATCCCTGACTTCTGTCTGGACAGAGCTGATAGGCCCTGTGCTGATCACATACATTCTCCCAAGCAAAAAAAAGAACCTCTCTAGCAATACACAACAAACTGAGCATGTGCAGAGTGGCTCCACATGATATGTCTTATCAGGAGATAAGAGGGGGGCACTGGAAGAAGGGGAAGATCAGAGAAGTCAGGATCAAACAGTGTTTTTACACAATGTAGAGGATTAACCCCTTAGATTCCATAGTGAGTATAACAAGAATGCTTTACAGGGAATCCAGGATTCAGGGAATATCCGGTTGCCTCTCGGGGGATCAGGAAGGAAATTGGATCATGCTTTGCTGGGTTTATTTTGCCTTCCTCTGGATCGACTGTGGGTATAGGATTATAACTTTTTTTATGGTTGAACTGGATGGACTTTTGTGTTTTTTTCAGCCAGACTAACTATGTAACTATGTATCTATGTTTACTGCATATACAGACTGATTTTACTGTTGTGGGTTTAGTAACACTTTAATTAAAGGATTAGATAGAATATTGGCAGCTTGATTAATTTCCAGAAACATAAATACTTAAAATATTTGAAGCAACCAACAACATGGCTGTGGTTTCCAGTTGGTGCCATATTGCACGGAAACTTGGCTAGCAGGTTTGTATGTAATATGCCACTGACTGCTGGGTGAAAACCAGTTTTCAATCCAGCTGCTCAGAGCTACAGAATAAATCCAGTAAGAGTTAGATAAAAATCCAATTGATGAATTGATCATTTTGTTTGGTTTCCTGTTGTGATCAACTGTGATCACCTTCATATAGCTCTTTGGCTTGCTCAAAATATATAAACAGAGCAGTGCATAGCCAAGTATGGTTTAGTGCTCAGTTTTCTGATGAGTGACTGATTTATGGATTTTTAGGTATTCTAATTTTCTTTTTCTGTTGACCTTTCATTCAAGCACAAATGGGAATTAACAAGCAATAAAAACACGGGAAGACGGGATTACTGCAAGTTATTTATTTTGAATAATACCAGAATGAAGTTTCATGATTGATGTGTTTATCCACATCTATGTAAAAAGGCTTAAGATCTAATCCACATCTTAATAACACAGCACTGAATGAAGTTTGCAGAGTAGAGGGCTGTGCTGGTCTTCAGGAAGGAAGAGTCAACACCCATGGCTGCTACCATGATGGACTGTTTTAGAAAAATAGTTTTCCAACTAGATAAGGGCAATATTTAGGTATAGGTTTAAGTCAGCACTGCTGACTTGTTTTTGAAAGAGCAAGCTTTGGGGCAGTCCTATCACCTGATAAGAACATGCTTGTTCCAGATCAGCAGCTCAACTGTGAGGATCGTGACTCAGTTGCTCTTACTATCTTGATGGTGGTCCTTATGGAAACCCTAGTTAAATTTGGATATATATTATGTAAGAACGTCAGCATTTTAACCAGTTCAATACCAGACACTTTCAACCCCTTCCTTCCCAATTTTCAGATTTCCACTTGTCACAATTTGAATGACAGTTGTGCAACACTGTACCCAAATTAAATTTTTTATCATTTTTGAGACCAATAGAGCTTTCATTTGGTGATATTTAATCACCACTGGATTTTTTAAATGTTTTTGCTATATAATTTAAAAATACCAAACATTTTGAAAAAAAATACAAAATTTTCTTCTTTTCTGTTATATAATTTTGCAAATAAATAATATTTTTTCATAAATTTATGCCAAAATGTATTCTGCTACATTTCTTCGGTAAAAAATAACCCAAATCAGTGTATATAATTTAGTTTCTGTGTAAGTTATAGAGTCTACAAACTATGGGATATACGGGGGTTAGAAAAAAAAATGGAAACACTCCATGATTTGCAAGTGTGAAAGTGACAACATGATTCAGGTTGAAACCAGAAGTGATGTAACATTCTTTTGCTTCCGCTGTGTGATGAGACACTTAGTTAACAGGTGAGAAGCCTCACTTTTGTCAATTACTGTGTACACTGTTAGTAATATGGAGTCATGTCAAAGCTTACTGAGCTTCAAAGAGGGCACATTTTTGGTGACAGAAGTTGCCAATTTACTAGTTATGGCGGCATATACAGTTTCTGGGAAAATGTCATCTGATAAGCATATGTGCAGTCGACATGGTCAACTGACCGAGAGAGACGAAAGGACATTGTGCAAGATTGTGACCTGAAATAAGAAAACAACTGATGCAAACGAGACTGCAGAATGTTACATCACTTCTGCTTTCAGCAGGAAACATGTTGTCACTTTCACACCTGCAAATTATGTAGTGTTTCCATATGTTTGTCTAACCCCTATATAGCTGAAAATTGGTCAGTTCTGATGTACTGACAACCTATCACATTTCTTGAGGCCCTAAAATGCCAGGACAGTACAAATACCTGTCAAATGATCCTTTTTTGGAAATTAGACACCCCAAGGTATTTGCCTTCTTCCCAACCATGCTATAGCTAAAAGATAGCTACAGAGCGGTCGTCCAGTTCTGGGAGGGCGTCCATGGACATCCTTCCAGAACCACGCCCTCTGGGTGTGTTCAACCTGCATGCTCTGTGATCTCTGTGGTCTTCGGACACAGCTGATCACAGATTGCAGTAGAGGGACAATTACAGTGGCCCTTTACTATGTGATCAGCTGTGTCCAATCACAGCTGATCACATTGTAAACAGACCTGCTGGTTATTGGCAGTACTTTCCACATGTGCTGTCACAGTGTGAGGAGAGCCGGTAACTGGCAATTCACACAGGGGACATTTACACTGATATTCAGGGCACTGACATCAGTGCATCGCCATCAGTGCCCATCAGTGCTGCCTATCAGTGCCTCCTTATCAATGCCGCCTATCAGTGCCCATCAGTGCTTCCTATCAGTGCCTTCTTATCAATGCCGCCTATCAGTGCCCACCAGTGAAGCACCATCAGTGAAGCAGAAAAATTACTTATTTACAAAATTTTATAACAGAAACTAAGAAAAACAGAGATCACAATAGTACACAATGAATGACTACAAACAAGAGACATTCATTGTGGACGTTTGGCATGTTATCCCTATGATTGGTCACTGCGGTCACATGGTACCTTGGCCAGCCAGGTACAATGATCTGTAACCTGCTGGGTCCGATAGACACAGCGGGTGACAGATTGAGCCACAGTGTGGCCGCTAGAGCCTGCAGGAGGCATGCGACTGGGAGGACGTCATATGATGTCCTTCAGTAATAACAGTGCTCCTGCTCAGCCATCATTTGACTATAGGCCAGGTGGCAGGTAGCATAACTATATTATACTATCTTTATATTTTTTTTTTTTTTTTTTGTTACAATCTTTGTTATCCATATGGCCACACATGCACTTACGCTATTTTTTATTTATTCACTCATTCTCTCTTTATTAATTTTCTCAATATATCAACATACATAAATATTTAAATATTTTACAATATCACATCACATAAATCAGTACTCAAACCTCTAAAGTCCAAAACATAACACCTACCCCCCCCCCCCCCCCCACCCCCAAAAAAAGAAAGAAATCCCTGCTATGTTCCACACATGAAAATAGCTTGCTGTCACTACCAATGGGATTATGTCAATACACCTCCCATCATTGATCACGGTTTAGGCTTTTAGCCCGATTTAAATGCCAAGCAATCCCATCCTTTTCTCCCCTGGCAATTACATTAACCTCTCCCATTCTAGTTTCTTGATGGTGTTTGGTTGACAATGATCTATATTTAGCACTAGTTCATATTATTCCCTTTGTAACAATAGCCCAAAAAGGTAGTATCTCTATCGCGTTCTTTAGGAATGAGAACAGGGATACCACCAACATTGTATACCACTAATATTCTCAGATTATTATTTTTATTAAATTAACAAAAGCTTTAGACCTCTTAAAAGTCTTAAAATACCCCAATGTTTTAAAAATATATCAAAATAATCTTTATGCAAGTGGAATAATCCTTCTTGAATATAAATAATACTCCATTAACCACTCCTTCATATTTGGAATATCATGTATATTGCATAATACTTTACAGTATATTATCTTTATAAATTATTGAGATATATATACAGTATATATTTGTTGGTTCAGAATGGATTAGAATGTCACTATAAACCAAATTAATCTCTCTTCTATACTGGGTGCCTACCCTATCCAGAGGAAGCAGATCTATCAGTGAAATACATTGACAACGGTTTCAAGCTAATGGTGGTACTTGAATGACATTGTCATGCTCTAACATTCACTTTGATGTGAAGATTGCAATGTACGTATATCCATGCATATTGATTTTAAATTCCTTTTTATATGAGTTTTATGCTTTGTATATAATAAAATTGGTATATTTGTATAAATATTGTCTGGCATTGCATCTAAAGTCCCTTTTTAATGTACTTTGGTAGTGACTCAACAAAAAAGGAGGGAAAGCCCAAGGAAGACAGCCCAAGAGTCTGCAAGGTAAAAAACAAATCAGCATTTGTTGTTCTCGTATTTGTTCTTTCATAGGTTGCTTTTATTGTGTCAGCATGACATATAAAACCATGGGTGTATTGATTTGATTGGCAGCTTGAAGACGTGCTATGTTATGAATGTTGTGGACTTGCCACAGTAAACATTTTAATGGGCGTCTGGCATTTGAATACATAAAGGAATTGGGATCTGTAGCTTCAAGCTAGTACTATCTGGATCAAACATTTGAGGATACAGTGGGAACTTGTTACAGAAGGCTTGCTTGGTGTGAGATCGATCAAAAATTAAAGTATTGCAGTTTTATTTGTAAATTTTTTTTTTAATAAAAAACAACAAGCATCACATCATCAGCTTAATCATTTGTTATTGTACACTTTCTTAGTTTTGCAGCCATGGCAGAAATGATACCCCCTGTTGCTTGTGTTGGGTTCAAGGGGTTTAAGCATTCATTCTATAAATGAACACAAAGCTTACTTTTATTGGCTGAGGCAGAGAAGTGGGTGAATGATGTCACAGTCTCTGCCTCAGCCAATCAGAGGAAGCTTTGCATTCATTCAAAGAATATAAAGCTTCCCATGAATGGCTAAGCAGCACTCAGCTTGACTCTCTTTTGTTCCAGGAGTGGGAAGGGAAGTACACAACGCTGAGGCTACATATAGTTAAAACAGTGCACCCAGCAAGCACACCTGTTTGTGCAGTAAATGATTTGTTTGGGCCAGCTTGGCACAAATGAATTGTTTCAAAGGACAATAAACGAAGACTTAGATTTTAAAAATAACAGACTTAAAGGATAAGTTCACCTTTAGGAACATGTTACATGTTCCACCTGTTTTTAGGATGGAACATGTAACATGATCCCAATGCTGCAACTCCTGCCCGATACCTTCCCCCCCTTCCCTGTGACAGCAGTACGGGGAGAAGTTCCCCATACTAGCTGTAAGTGCCTCTGCCTCTCAGTTCCATGAATGAATGAACTACAAGTCCCATCAACCTTTGCTGCTGTTGGCTTTTTGTTATCAATGAAATACCACGGCACTGCTGCGTGCTGTAGTAGTTCATTAAATCTTCCTATCAGACTGTATCTGCTTGCCCGTAAAGGATGTATGGGCAAGCAGATACACTGACACTTTGCAAGAGTCCTGCATGGCACCAGCGATCTACTGATCGCTGATGCAACGCTTTCCAGACTAAAAAAAAAGTAAATGCACATTTATTATTGTATTTTTTTAACGTGAATTATCCTTTAAAGTGTTGCTAAACCCACCACAGTAAAACCAATTTGTATATGCAGTAAAGCATGCTTGTTATACTCACTGTGGTAACCTAAGGGGTTAATCCTCTGCATTGTGTAAAAATGCTGTTTGATCCTGACTTCTCTGATCCTCCCCTTCTTCCAGCGTCCCACTCTTATCTGCTGATAAGACATATTGGGGTTTATTTACTAAAGCTGGAGAGTCCAAAATCAGACTCCCTTCTGCATAGAAACCAATCAGCTTCCAGGTTTCATTGCCAAAGCTTCATTGAACAAGCTGAGGTTAGAAGCTGATTGGTTTCTATGCAGAAGGGAGTCTGATTTTGGACTCTCCAGCTTTAGTAAATAAACCCCATTGTGTGGAGTCACTCTGCACATACTCAGTTTGATGTGTATTGCTAGAGAGGTTCTTTTTTTTGCTTGGGAGAATGCATGTGATCAGCACAGGGCCGATCAGCTCTGTCCAGACAGAAGTCAGGGATTCTGCATCCTCCTAAAGCAGAAAGTAAACTCCTCCTACAAGCTTTAACCAGTATTCAGCTGGACACTGATAGAAGTCACAACACTGCTCTAACTGCTGCTGATTAAAGGTATTTAGCAGTTTATAAACCGTATATTAAGTGTAATGTGACAATATATAAGACCTGACACCTGAAAAAGTGCACAATATATCACTCACCTAAATAAATAAATGAGTACATAAAATGTGTAAACATGCAGCTGTCCTAATAGTGAATAATCAAATAATCACCTCATGAAACAATGACAAATAAAATCAGCGCAAAACAAATGTGAAACACAATAGCAAAGTGGGAATATGATACAAAATATAACACTTCAAAAAATATACACAAATATTTAAATCATTTGACACAAGTCCACCAACTGAAAAATGAAAATTGTGATGAAGTGCAAAGTCCTTATTGATCCACCAAGATCACCACGTGAATGACATAACAATAGTTGTTTGAATAAAGTGCACTCAGATATCACCATGTGCTCCAGAGGAAAACCTCCCCTCCCGTATCATCCTTATACACCATCATAGGACATGATGCTTTTTTGGCTCTGAATTGGGTCTTGAGTAAACAGGATGATTTACCCTTTTCTCAAAATAACTTTTTAAGAAGAGCTTTGGATTTTTTGTTTATAACACAATTATTTTTGGTATCAAAATCAGTACTATAAACAATTAAATGGTGTAGCCATGGGTGCCAAATTTGCACCAAACTTGGCAAACATCTTTATGGTGGAGTGAGAGGATAGATTTGTGTTTCATAATCAAAAACCTGAGCTGATCTTTTATCACAGATTCATTGATGATCTGCTGTTTATTTGGGATGGCTCTGAATCTAATTTGCAACAGTTTATGAAATGTTTGAATACCAATATTCAGAATATTAAATTAGTACCATTATTGTCAGCAGGAAGTGAATTTCCTTGACTTAAATATTTTAAAGCAGAATAATAAACTGGTTACAAAAGTGTATTTTAAGCCAATGGATAGAAATAGTTATTGTATCAGTTAATAGTGGCCATCACTCCATTTGATTACAAAATATACCAAATGGGCAGATTATGAAGTTAAGAAGCAATTGTACCTTGGAATCTGATTTTAGGGAGCAGTCCCTGAATATTAAGAATAGGTTTGTGCAGAAGGGGTATTCAATTGTTGGATAAGATTATTGAGGAAGTAGCAGGGATTCCTAGAATTGCTACATTGGAGGAGAAAGTAGGAAGTTCACAAGGTGATAAACATCAGTGGAGTTTTTTCTCCAATTTTCATTCTCAATATACAGTAGAGAGGTAGAGAACATCTTTAAAACCCATTGGAATGTTTTATTAATGGACAGGACTTTGGGTAATTATTTACCATCTAAACCAGCGGTTCTCAACCTGTGGGTCATGACCCCTTTGGGGGTCGAATGACCCTTTAACAAGGGTCACCTAAGACCATCGGAAAACACATATTTTGATGGTCTTAGGAACAGAAAAACACCGCTCCTCTATCCGTCTCCAGGCGGGTCTGCCCACATGCAAATACGCCCACATTTCCCTGGACCGCGATGTGTGGGCGGGATGACATGCCGTCCCTGTCATCTAGCCACACACCCGGGATCATCAACAGCCCTGCCTCCTCGCCGGTGATTGGCCGCCGGAAATGTAGCTCAGGAGAGTCATACAGGTGGCCAATTAGTGGCGAGGAGGTGGAGCTTGGAGAGGAGGAGCTGAGAGGCAGCACGAAGATCAAAGAAGATCGAGTGAGGGAGCTGTCGGAGCGAGTGAAGAGGAGAACGGCCGTAGAAGTCTGTACTGTGCAGATGCTGCTGCTGCAGCCAGGTATGCTGGCTGTAGATGGGAGAGGGAGGGAGCGAGCCCTGGCTGGAGCAGGGGTCAGCAAGGTAAGTATCATTTGTGTCAGTGGGAAGAATAGTGCCCCATCATTGGTGTCACTAATACCAATGATGGGGCACTATTCCTCCCACTGACACCAATGATGGGGCACTATTCCTCCCCCCACTGACACCAACGATGGGGCACTATTCCTCCCCTACTGACACCAACAATGGGGCACTATTCCTCCCCCCACTGACACCAACGATGGGGCACTATTCCTCCCCCCACTGACACCAACGATGGGGCACTATTCCTCCCCCCACTGACACCAACGATGGGGCACCATTCCTCCCCCCACTGACACCAATGATGGGGCACTATTCCCCCCCCCCCCCCACTGACACCAATGATGGGGCACTATCCCCCCCCAGACACTGACATCAATGATGGGGCACTATTCCCCCCCCACTGACACCAATGATGGGGCACTATTCCTCCCACACTGACACCAATGATGGTGCACTATTTCTCCCACTGACACTAACGTTGTGGCACTATTCCTCCCACTGAAACCAATGATCAGACACTATTCCTCCCACTGATACCAACGATGGGACACTATTCCTCCCACTGACACCAATGATGTGGCACTACTCCTCCCACTGCAAAATTACAATTATGAAGTAGCAATGAAAATAATTGGTTGGGGGTCACCACAACATGAGTAACTGTTTTAAAGGGTCACGGCATTAGGAAGGTTGAGAACCACTGATCTAAGACCACTTTTATTTACAGGCGTGCCCCCAATTTTGGGGACATGGTTGTTAGAAAGGTGATAGATCCCCCTACCAGACATTCTTTTTTTCCCAGATAGGAAGGTTTTCCATGCATGTCGTAAATGTCAAACATATAGAATGGCTCAGGATATCATTAGGATCAAGGGTGACTTTACTTCTAAGGTTACTGGAAAGTCTTTTCAAATATCTGAATTTATTGCATGTGACACGACTCATATAGTGTACATCCTTCAGTGTCCATGTGGCCTCCAATATGTAGGCGAACTAAGCGCACTCTAAAGAAATGTTTGGCTGAACATGTTCATAATATTAGTATTGGTTTTCGTAACCACAGTGTTTCACTTCATTTTAGACAGGTACATAACAGAAATCCAGAGGGTTTGTTGTTTTGGGGCTTGAATAGAATCCACCCATCATGGAGAGGTTTCAATATGGTTTGAGAACTCTCCAGGCGTGAAACCAAGTGGATTTATCAGCTCCAAATTTTAAATCCTTTGGGTCTCAATGTGGAAGTCGACATTAATTGTTTTATTAGTGATGTATAGGGGGCTGTATGTTGATTTTAAATGGTTGAGAATATCGGTATTGAGTCCCTTGTATCTCATTCTAAAATATGTATGATCTTCACTTTTTGATTGAGCTGTATAGTTTGCCATCCTTTTCCTAGTCTTATTATATTTTTAATTTTTATTTTTTATGTCTGTTTTTGTATTTTTGGAATAATAGTAATAATATTTTTTATTTGTTTTTGGTTATTGTTGAATGTAATCATCCAGATAGCTTTAAAGGTTTTGTTTAGGATGTATGGTATATATTTTATTTTTTTATTTACATGTATTTTATTTACACTTTATTTCATATGGTCGCAAGCAATATATTTTTGGGCCACAAGATGGTGATCATGATCATTTCACTCTAGGTCTTTCAGACTGGAAGTGACTGTTCTGGATGATTATTGGGACACTATATAAATAGCATTGTCATACTGTGGGGCTAACCCTTTGATAAAGTCAGGTGACGAAACACGTGTCAGGGTCGGGCCGCACGACCTATTCTGTAATGAGGCATCCACCTTACATCCCCTGCCGGAAGTGACGTATCGCTCGCGTGCAGCGAGAAGGATCGGGTGAGATGCTCGCACCATGTGATATACAGATACCCTTAACAGTTATTGTGGATATTTTGCCATGCTTTCATTTATTTCATGTGAGTGCAATACTTTCTACCCAATAAATGGTTTTTAATGGATTCATGCTATGAGTTTCCTTTTACATCTTTCCTTGATTACGAAGTGTAATAGTTTGGAGGATGTCCCACCATCATATCAGTCTCTTAATGGATGAAGCGCTTGTTGATTGATGATCTGTACTACGCTGACACTCACCATAAGCGCTATTGCCTATCAGGTTTGGATGGGCCACAATATCTGGTGAGTGCTACTGAATTGGGGGAGGTTTTCCTCTGGAGCATGTGGTGATATCTGAGTGCACTTTACTCGATCAATTATCGTTATGTTGTTCACGTGGTGATATCTGAGTGCACTTTACTCAATTATCGTTATGTTGTTCACGTGGTGATATCTGAGTGCACTTTACTCAATTATCGTTATGTTGTTCACGTGGTGATATCTGAGTGCACTTTACTCAATTATCGTTATGTTGTTCACGTGGTGATATCTGAGTGCACTTTACTCAATTATCGTTATGTTGTTCACTTGGTGATATCTGAGTGCACTTTACTCAATTATCGTTATGTTGTTCACTTGGTGATATCTGAGTGCACTTTACTCAATTTTTGTTATGTTGTTCACATAGTGATCTCGGTGGATCAATAAGGACTTTGCACTTCATCATAATTTTAATTTTTCAGTTTGTGGACTTATGTCAAATGATTTAAATATTTGTGTATATTTGAAGTGTTATATTTTGTATCATATTCCCACTTTGCTATTGTGTTTTCACATTTTTTTTTGCGCTGCTTTTATTTGTCATTGTTTCATGAGGTGATTATTTGATTTAGCATTTTTTTTATTTACTAAAATAATAGCACTTCCATGTTGTGTGTACTGTGGGAGACCAGATAAAGTGAATGCAGGGTCCTGGGTGTAGTAACACTTTAAACCGGCCATACATGGATAGCAGGCTGAATGAAAAAAAAAATAACAGATTCCTCCATCCACACAAACAAGCTAAATGAAAAAAACCACCCTCACCAGGACATTGTATTCTGACAAAAGCACCCGCCACTGTCAGCAACTGATCAGGAAAGGTTTTCCAGCTTGTCCCTTTGACAGAAGTCGATCAAGCCATCAACTTCTTTCAACAGCCACACACTAATCAAAATTTAACTGGTCCCTGCTGAACCAGACAATTTTCAATCAGTATAGTGCCAGCTTTACTGGTTGGAACACGAGGTAAAAATAGGGAAAAAAAGGTAAAAAAAAAAATAATGCTTCTGCCATTCTAAGGATTGGTAAGCTGCAATATATTACATTTTTGCTTTTCGGTTTCGATATGTTTTAAAGTGATAATAAAGTCTCTCTTTCAAAAAAAAAAAACAAAACAAAACATGTTTATACTTACAGTTGTGTTCAAAATAATAGCAGTGTGTTGAAAAAAGTGAATAAAGCTCAAAATCCTTCTAATAGCTTTTATTTCCATACACACAAATGCATTGGGAACACTACACATTCTATTCCAAATCAAAACATGAAGAAAAATATATCAAATTTGTGTTGTTCCTCTAAAAAAAAAATGCAGAAAAGTGAATATTAGACTGTTCAAAAAAATATCAGTGTTTGTATTCTTCTTTACAAACTCAAACATTCACTAAATAAACTGAAAAATGTTTGAAGATTTTGCTTTCCTTTGAATCACTTAATGAATATTTAGTTGTATAAGCACTGTTTCTGAGAACTGCTGTACATCTGTGTTGCATGGAGTCAACCAACTTCTGTGAACAGGTATTCCAGCCCAGGATGATTGGACTACATTCCACAGTTCTTCTCTATTTCTTGGTTTTACCTCAGAAACTGCATTTTTGATGTCACCCCACAAGTTTTCTATTGGATTAAGATCCGGGGATTGGGCTGGCCACTCCATAATGTCAATCTTGTTGGTCTGGAACCAAGATGTTGCACGTTTACTGGTGTGTTTGGGGTCGTTGTCTTCTTGGAACACCCATTTCAAGGGCATTTCCTCTTCAGCATAAAGCAGCATGACCTCTTCAAGTATTCTGATGTATTCAAACTGATCCATGATCCCTGGTAATGCGATAAATAGGACCAACACCGTAGTATGAGAAACATCCCCAAATCATGATGCTTGCGCAACCATGCTTCACTATCTTCACAGTGTACTGTGGCTTGAATTCAGTGTTTGGGGGTCGTCTGACAAACTGTCTCCGACCACTAGACCCAAAAGGAACAATCTTACTTTCATCAGTCCACAAAATGTTGCACCATTTCTCTTTAGGCCAGTCAATGTGCTCTTTGGCAAATTGTAACCTCTTCAGCACGTTTTTTTTTCAACAGTGGGACTTTGCGGGGGCTTCTTGCAGATAGCTTGGCTTCACATGGGCGTCTTCTAATTGTAATAGTACTCACAGGTAACTTTAGACCTTCTTTGATCTTCCTGGAGCTGATTGTTGGCTGAGTCCTTGCCTTTTTGGCTATTCTTCCATCCATTCAAATGGTAGTTTTTCATTTTCTTCCACGTCTTTCAGGTTTTGGTTGCCATTTTAAAGCATTTGCGATCATTTTAGCTGAGCAGCCTATCATTTTCTGCACTTCTTTATATGTTTTCCCCTCTCCAATCAACTTTTTACTCAAGGTACGCTGTTCTTCTGAACAATGTCTGGAACGACCCATTTTCCTCAGAATTTCAGAGAGAAATGCACTGTAAACAGCATGTACAACATTTGCTGCCTCCTTCCTTAAATATGGGCAATAATTGCCACCTGTTTTTCAAAGAATGAATGACCTCACTAATAGAACTCCACACTGCTATTATTATTATTATTAGTGATTCTATTACACAGAATCAGCAGCATGCATGTCTTGCCTGTGGGGGTCTGTTGGATTTCTGTTACTCTACTACACCTGCTAGTAAATTATTTGCCATGTAGAAATATAATTTCTACCAAAAACAGTGATTGATCAGGTTAGTGATGTCTGACTGCTATTGTTTTGAACACAACTGTATCTGCTCTGTGCAATGGTTTTATGCAGGGCAGCCCCGACCCTCCTCTTTTGGGGTTCCCCAACTGCACTACTGGCTCCTTCTGCCTTCAACTTACCCCCCCCCCCCAGAAGCTTCTTGCTAGAGGGGTACTCATGCAGCCTTGCTCCCAGGCCACACACGTATGTTGACAGACTTCACCCCCCCCACCACCACTCACTTGTCACTGGATTTGATTGACAGCAGCAGGAGCCAATGGCTAGCACTGCTCTCACTGAGTCCAGTGATGAGGGAGAGAGAGAAAGCAGTGCCACTGCTCTTGGGCACAGTGCTGGAGATTGGGCTCAAGTAGGTTTTTGGGGGGAGGGAGCTGCACCAAAAAGGTATTTTACCTTAATGCAGAGAATGCATTAAAGGTAAAAAAAAAAAACCCCTTAGCCTTTACAACCAATTTAGGCTTGGAGATGATGACATTACATTATATTGTAATTTAGCATATATGGAATAATTTGTCTGATTGGATCTGACTGAGTATATTAAGCCTGCTAGTTAGTTTTTGTATTTATTGTAATATGTAAGGTTTTATAAATAATTTCTTTAGGTCTATAATAAAGTGGTTATATTTTAAATATGTTCTTTGTATGTCTTGATGGCCGTGCCAATTCTTTGTTTATTTATGTATACATATTTTTTTTTAAATTGTTGAGCTTATTGGGTAATTTCTAAATTTTTTTACATTTTTCCTTGACAAAGGCTTATATAATCCTTAAAGCACAAATGTGTGTCTTTTACGGTAAAATAAAGTTGTCAGTTATAACCTCCTGCCCAAATGACCTTTATTCTCCCACAGTAACACAAATTGTTAAAATGTAAAAATTGCACACAGCGTCATCTGTCGCAGCTACGAGTCCATCTGTTGTGTCACAACGTCACAGCTCCAGTTGTTCCTTGTCCGAAGAAACATAACATGCTAGAATAAGGAAGACTTCTCTGTCACTGGCATTTTGACAGAATTGGTTCTTTGACATATGTCTGGCTAAGAGGACTTTTAAATTATTCTACCTTTCTTGATGTATTACTGAAATTGTAACTGGAGCTCAAGTGCATATTTAGACAAGTACAATTAATCCAGGCCTGAAAAAAATTTCTAAGATCGTTTTCAGAAGAAAAATGCACTGACGGGATCGCATTAATCAAATAACATAAAATTGTCTAGTGGGTGGGAGCTATTGAATAATATCCACCTGCTAAATTCATATTTTATTTATTTTAGTGTAAAAAATATTGTTTTCTCTATTTCTATATTTCTATACAATAAATGACATAAAATCTGAACAGGGATGCAGAAAGCAACCTGACAAAGTTTCTAACCATTGCTCAGTCTTATCAAAAATTGAAAAAATGTCTGACATTCCTTTAACCTCAGTTCACACATATGCAATTTCTAATGTATTTTAGAACGCATTGAATCACATGACATGTCAAATAAAATGTTTTCTACAATGGTTGTTCACATACATGCGGTTCACCCGCAGTGTGATTTTGAAAAGGGTCCTGTGTGTATTTAGAGAGGTGCAATTTCCAGGCTCATTGGCTTCAATGGGAATGCTTCCAAATCGCATATCTCCTCAGTTATGAACATGGTTTTAGCACAATTTGCTCTCCTCTTCCTACACCTACCCTCCACCCCTAAACATCTGAATTGCACTAGAAGTGCTGAACAACTCCCTTTAAAAATCACACTGAAAACTGACATGAAAATTGCACCGCATATACTCTATATTGCCAAAAGTATTGGGACGCCTGCCTTTACACGCACATGAAGTTTAATGGCATCCTAGTCTTGGTCTGTAGGGTTCAATATTGAGTTGGCCCACCCTTTGCAGCTATAACAGTTTCAACTTTTCTGCGAATGCTGTCCACAAGGTTTAGGAGTGTGCCTATGGGAATATTTGACCATTCTTCCAGAAGCACAATTGTGAGGTGAAGCACCTATGTCAGACGAGAAGGCCTGGCTCACAGTCTCCACTCTAATTCATCCCAAAGGTGTTCTATCTGGTTGAGGTCAGGACTCTGTACAGGCCAGTCAAGTTCCTCCACCCCAAACTAGCTGATCCATGTCTTTATTGCTTGTGCACTGTCTTGCTTTGTGCACTGATTCGCAGTCATGTTAGAACAGGAAGGGGCCATCCCCAAAATGTTTCCACAAAGTTGGGATCATGAAGTTGTCAAAAATGTCTTGGTATTCTGATGCCTTAAGAGTTCCCTTCACTGGAAATAAGGGGCCAAGCCCAACCCCTGAAAAACAACCCCACACCAAAATGGATGAAGCTGCTCGGCCATGGAAACCCATTCCTTGAAGCTCTCTATGCACTGTTGTTGTGCTAATCTGAAGGCCACATGAAGTTTGGAGGTCTTTAGCTATGGACTCTGCAGACAGTTGGCAACTGCAACTTCTGCTGTTGTTCCCAGTTGCTTCCACTTTGTTATAATACCACTAACAGTTAACTGTGGAATATTAATTTGCAAAGAAATTTCACAGATGGACTTATTGTACAGGTGGCAACCTATCATGGTACCACGCATGAATTCACTGAGCTCCTGAGAGCAACCCATTCTTTCACAAATGTTTGTAGAAGAAGTCTGCATCCCTAGGTACTTGATTTTATACACCTGTGACCATGGAGGTGATTGGAACACCTGAATCCAATTATTTGGAAGGGTGTCCCAATACTTTTGGCAATATTGTGCACTGTATGTGAACCTAGACTTATGCGTACATTCCAAAAAGTTTTTTTGTTTTTTCTTTTAATACAAAGTAGGTGTCTTATAACCCAGAAAAATACAGCTTTCACTTAGTTACAAGTAGGTCATAAGACAAAACTACCCAACCATATATGTATACAAAGTACCAAAAGAAAAAACATACATTTTATACATTTCTGTCACTTTTTTACATGTCTTGAATCCATATTTCCTGTCCCCAAATACACAACAGGAAGTGAGTGAAAATCTCCACCTTTGACTGCTCTTACTTGAAAAGGTGTCTCAATGGGAAGATAACCTCTTCCTCCTGTCTCGTTGGCAAGTGTAAAATTTAGTCTTTACCTTCACTTTTGAACTATCCATCAATCTGCTCTAAAGTAAAAAAAAAAAGGTTTTGGCTGGAATTTCACTTAAAGGGGTTTTACAGGTGTTTTGCAGCTTTGATCTTATTTTAATCTGGGATTAAATGATATGTTTGTAAAAAAAAATGCACTGTGCAGACAAGGAGCTCCGGTAAGTTTCATTTAAGTGCGAAATCAGAAGGCCCTTCACAGTTTATTTGTAGCTTGGTTGAAAAACTACTAAAGGGAGAGATTTGCACCATCCTGCCTGTGATCTGGGATACCCTGTACACTGGGTGCCCTCCTACATCGCTGGAATGGGCACACTTTTCCTCTCAAGACCTGAACATGTCAAGTTCTTCCTCTTGTTGATGCAGTGGTTGAGCTCAAAGTTTGCTACAACAGGAAAGAGAAAGCACACTATGCATGCATGTGACTGATAAGCAGTCATGTAACAACCAGGGGCAGACTGACCATTTGAAAACTCGGGCACTGCCCGAGGTCAGTAGGGGGCCCCATGAGATGCCCCTGGTACCTTTTTCATAGGCTTTTTTGAGTTTGGGTAAGGACATAGGAGCCCCATGATCCCCTATTGCCCGGAGGCCCCATGAGTTGTCAGTCCACCCCTGGTAACAACATGTAAGTATTTAGTACCATAGTTTTGAAGATCCAGGGTAGCATGACTGCACACCCCCAGGGGGCAAGTGTTTGACACCCTGGTCTGACAGATAGTGAGTTAAATAATACTGAGAATCATCATTCAAGCCTGGAAGCCTAGAGACAGCAAGGATGAAGCAGACTTTCTATGGGGGACAGCTCCAAACAGGAGTTGTGTATTGCAGCTACATTGAGCTTTAAATAGATTAGAAATTTGCATGAAAGCTAGGTTTACGGAGTGGAGGTTGGTGCAAGAGGTCATTCATACCCATTTTCTGACCAAATTCTTACAGTGAACTAAAATGTATTTCTAATAGATACACAAATTGAGTATTATTTTTAAATCCAAAGTGTTAACTAAAACCCACAACAGTAAAATCAGTCTCTATATGCAGTAAAGCATGCTTGTTATACTCTCTGTGGAACCTAAGGGGTTAATTATCAGCATTGTGTAAACAGGCAGTTTGATCCTCTCTGCTCTGATCCTCCCCTTCTTCTACTGTGCCCAATCTATCTTCTGATAGAACATAGCCTTTGGGGCAAGCTGCCCATGCTTAGTTTGGTGTGTATTGCTTTATTTTTTCTTGGGAGAGTGCATGTGATCAGCACAGGGCCAATCAGCACTGTCCAGACAGAGGTCAGGGGTTCTGCATCCTCTTAGAGCAGAATTAAATCTCCTCCTACAAGCTTTAACCAGTGCTCTGCTGGACACTGACAGAAGTCACAAGACTGCTGTAACTGCTGATGAGAAAATGTATTTAGCAGTTTATATTTCCTAAAATAATTGCATTTCCATGTTCTGTGTACTGTGGGGAGACCAGATGAATGCAGGGTCCTGGGTTTAGTAACACTTAAACCTAAACATTTTTCTTTATGTATCTTTTAACTAATATTTTAATGAATGTATTTAAGGTGAACCAGTGAGGATGTTGTCATTACTAACTTGCTTTTTAAAATACTGTAAATAGTTTACCAGACTGTTTTCCTTTCCTTTCCTGGTCTACCATCTTGTATGTTACTCACCAAGTACAAGCATGCAGGATGTCAGTCCACTTTTCCAATTTTACTGGCTGCATTCTTACTCCACATCAATACCTCACTAGGCAGTGCAGCTTAGATTGCAGTGACAATTAAAAAAAAAAGTTAGCAATGGCACTTCCTAAATATCCTTTTCCCCTCTTCCTTCAGTAGTCGTCTGTATTTTAAGAGTGACAACAACACATGAATACATACTGGTAATGAAAATGTACTCATGTATAATTTAATTAGGCTGAATATCCATGTGTTGGAAATGCAATGTTAGTGCCAGTTTTCAGAAGTCAAAGATCAGCACATTGAAATCACATGCTCCACCAGTAAACAGATATATCTTGGGGTTATACCATACAGTGGGGCAAAAAACGTATTTAGTCAGCCACCAATTGTGCAAGTTCTCCCACTTAAAAAGATGAGAGAGGCCTGTAATTGGCATCATAGGTAGACCTCAACTATGAGAGACAAAATGAGAAAAAAGATCCAGACAATCACATTGGCTGATTTGGAAAGAATTTATTTGCAAATTATGGTGGAAAATAAGTATTTGGTCAATATCAAAAGTTCATCTCAATACTTTGTTATATATCCTTTGTTGGCAATGACAGAGGTCAAACGTTTCCTGTAAGTCTTCACAAGGTTGGCACACACTGTTGCTGGTATGTTGGCCCATTCCTCCATGCAGATCTCCTCTAGAACAGTGATGTTTTGGGGCTGTCGCTGGGCAACCCGGACTTTCAACTCCCTCCAAATGTTTTCTATGGGGTTGAGATCTTGAGACTGGCTAGGCCACTCCAGGACCTTGAAATGCTTCTTACGAAGCCACTCCTTCGTTGCCCGGGTGGTATGTTTGGGATCATTGTCATGTTGGAAAACCCAGCCACGTTTCATCTTCAATGCCCTTGCTGATGGAAGGAGGTTTGCAGTCAAAATCTCACGATACATGGCCCCATTCATTCTGTCCTGTACATGGATCAGTCGTCCTGGTCCCTTTGCGGAGAAACAACCCCCAAAGCATAATGTTGCCACCCCCATGCTTCACAGTAGGTATGGTGTTCTTTGGATGCAACTCAGCATTCTCTCTCCTCCAAACACGACGAGTTGTGTTTCTACCAGTTTTATTTTGGTTTCATCTGACCATATGACATTCTCCCAGTCCTCTTCTGGATCATTCAAATGCTCTCTAGCAAACTTCAGACGGGCCCGGACATGTACTGGCTTAAGCAGGGGGACACGTCTGGCACTGCAGGACCTGAGTCCCTGGCGGCATAGTGTGTTTCTGATGGTAGCCTTTGTTACGTTGGTCCCAGCTCTCTGTAGGTCATTCACTAGGTCCCCCCGTGTGGTCCTGGGATTTTTGCTCACCGTTCTTGTGATCATTTTGACCCCACAGGGTGAGATGTTGCGTGGAGCCCCAGATTGAGGGAGATTATCAGTGGTCTTGTATGTCTTCCATTTTCTAATTATTGCTCCCACAGTTGATTTGTTCACACCAAGCTGCTTGCCTATTGCAGATTCAGTCTTCCCAGCCTGGTGCAGGTCTACAATTTTGTTTCTGGTGTCCTTCGACAGCTCTTTGGTCTTCATAGTGGAGTTTGGAGTGTGACTGTTTGAGGTTGTGGACAGGTGTCTTTTATACTGATAACAAGTTCAAACAGGTGCCATTGATACAGGTAATGAGTGCAGGACAGAGGAGCCTCTTAAAAAAGAAGGTACAGGTCTGTGAGAGCCAGAAATCTTGCTTGTTTGTAGGTGACTAAATACTTATTTTCCACCATAATTTGCAAATAAATTCTTTCCAAATCAGCCAATGTGATTGTCTGGATTTTTTTTCTCATTTTGTCTCTCATAGTTGAGGTCTACCTATGATGCCAATTACAGGCCTCTCTCATCTTTTTTAGTGGGAGAACTTGCACAATTGGTGGCTGACTAAATACTTTTTTGCCCCACTGTATATATCACATTAATTCCATTGATCATAAACTGAACCAGTCTCTAATGGGCATGGATGTGGGAATTTCAAGAGTGACTGAATAGAATTAAAAACGATTTTGCAGGTAAAAATGTTCACATATACAGTCAGGTCCATAAATATTGGGACATCGACACAATTCTAACATTTTTGGCTCTATACACCACCACAAAGGTTTTGAAATGAAACGAACAAGATGTGCTTTAACTGCAGACCGTCAGCTTTAATTTGAGGGTATTAACAAAAATCAGGTGAACGGTGTAGGAATTACATCAGTTTGCATATGTGCCTCCCATTTGTTAAGGGACCAAAAGTAATGGGACAGAATAATAATCATAAATCAAACTTTCACTTTTTAATACTTGGTTACAAATACTTTGCAGTCAATTACAGCCTGAAGCCTGGAACGCATAGACATCACCAGACGCTGGGTTTCATCCCTGGTGATGCTCTGCCAGGCCTCTACTGCAACTGTCTTCAGTTCCTGCTTGTTCTTGGGGCATTTTCCCTTCAGTTTTGTCTTCAGCAAGTGAAATGCATGCTCAATCGGATTCAGGTCAGGTGATTGACTTGGCCATTGCATAACATTCCACTTCTTTCCCTTAAAAAACTCTTCGGTTGCTTTTGCAGTATGCTTTGGGTCATTGTCCATCTGCACTGTGAAGCGTCGTCCAATGAGTTGTGAAGCATTTGGCTGAATATGAGCAGATAATATTGCCCGAAACACTTCAGAATTCATCCTGCTGCTTTTGTCAGCAGTCACATCATCAATAAATACAAGAGAACCAGTTCCATTGGCAGCAATACATGCCCACGCCATGACACTACCACCACCATGCTTCACTGATGATGTGGTATGCTTAGGATCATGAGCAGTTCCTTTCCTTCTCCATACTTTTCTCTTCCCATCACTCTGGTACAAGTTGATCTTGGTCTCATCTGTCCATAGGATGTTGTTCCAGAACTGTGAAGGATTTTTTAGATGTCGTTTGGCAAACTCTAATCTGGCTTTCCTGTTTTTGAGGCTCACCAATGGTTTACATCTTGTGGTGAACCCTCTGTATTCACTCTGGTGAAGTCTTCTCTTGATTGTTGACTATGACACACATACACCTACCTCCTGGAGAGTGTTCTTGATCTGGCCAACTGTTGTGAAGGGTGTTTTCTTCACCAGGGAAAGAATTCTTTGGTCATCCACCACAGTTGTTTTCCGTGGTATTCCGGGTCTTTTGGTGTTGCTGAGCTCACCAGTGCGTACCTTCTTTTTAAGAATGTTCCAAACAGTTGTTTTGGCCACGCCTAATGTTTTTGCTATCTCTCTGATGGGTTTGTTTTGTTTTTTCAGCCTAATGATGGTTTGCTTCACTGATAGTGACAGCTCTTTGGATCTCATCTTGAGAGTTGACAGCAACAGATTCCAAATGCAAATAGCACCCTTGAAATGAACTCTGGACCTTTTATCTGCTCATTGTAATTGGGATAATGGGGGAATAACACACACCTGGCCATGGAACAGCTGAGAAGCCAATTGTCCCATTACTTTTGGTCCCTTAACAAGTGGAAGGCACATATGCAAACTGTTGTAATTCCTACACCGTTCACCTGATTTGGATGTAAATACCCTCAAATTAAAGCTGACAGTCTGCAGTTAAAGCACATCTTGTTCGTTTCATTTCAAATCCATTGTGGTGGTGTATAGAGCCAAAAATGTTAGAATTGTGTCGATGTCCCAATATTTATGGACCTGACTGTATGTAATTAATCAGTGTATGTATTTGCTTGCCCACAGTTCTGCTTTAAATTTCCATGTTCCCGTGGGGTTTTATTTAAAGGAGCTCTCAATTGCTAAATTTTTTTTTACATTAATCATTGGTAATGCTGAAACCCAAAAATGATAGAACTGCTAAAATCAAGCAATAAGATGAGCATTCCAGAGCATAGATGGCGAAAAAAAAAAACCCCATGAAA